TCATATAATTTATTTCTTTTGATATTTATATTCGCACGTATCTCTATATAAAACAGAATTTGGACCGCTTTATTGATATTTTTAAATTTAAACAACTCCTGAATTGTATTTTTATAAGTATGCATTTTAACTACTTGTATTTTCAATTTATTTTAATTATCTTTATATCATAATGGTTTTTTTTATATTATACATGAGTGAATTTTAAATTTTAATGAGTTGATTCATGAAAATATATGTGAATACGTTGAATTCTTTCAAACATAAATTTTAATTTTTTTTAAAATCTTTTTTTAGATTTGTTACGCCACAAACTTGGATGGATGGAGTAATAATTATTTGTGTGGTGGATCATGTTAAATTAATTTTGCCCTATTTATCTAAAACTAAGTTCATATCTGTAAAGTATCTTAGAAATATCCAGTAACTAATTAAAGATTAAAAGCTAATTGGTGATGAATATAATTAATATAATAATACTTCGAAACCCCGGAAATAACTAGCTATAGAGGGTTAATTTTCCATTTAATTTAAATCTAAGGCGAAAAGAATAAAAATATACTCTCAAATCCTTTTAATATATCAACTAGTATATAAATATGTTTTCAACTTTAAAGTTCCACAAGTCGACACTTAAACTTTGTATACAGTTGAACAAATAAACACACATATCTGACATGATATCCTATATGGCAATTTGCGTCTTACGTGTATTATATATGTCACATAATATTTATGTGCCTACTCGTTCAATTTTTATACAATTTTTAGTGCATATTTATACACATTCAAAGTTCAAGAATATAAATATAAAATTAACCAAGTTAAATAACACAATTGTATATTATGTCTTTTGAAAGCAAACAATTTATTCAATAAAATTTGTAATACGTAACGTATTACTTTTAATGTAACAAATCAAACAACACATAAAAAATAATTTCAAAATAACTGATATCATCATAATTTCATAACTAAACAAAAAAAAAAACTCATAATAACTCCATTTAGCTATAAATTAATGTCAATACTTATTTTTCTTATGTTCGAAGCAAATGACCCCATATTGTTTGTACTTTTCCCTTTTACAAATAAACGAGTAAAGACTTTGGGGATTATATTAATGTTTATGTCATCTAAATGACGCAAGAAATGAGGACGTCACTCTTATAATTTACATTATATTAAAGACGATAGACACTTTGAACATGCTTTTGGCATTAATCAAATCATTGCTGACTAACAATTTGACTTGTGACTCCCACGAACTTCACATCTTTTACCAACTCTTTTTTTCTTTCATATGCTACTCAATACTCTTAATATTACGATAAAAATAGCTTTTAACGATAATATATGTATATTTTTACCGTAATGAAATCATAGCTATTTTTTTTAATAGAAATTTTACACAAAATAAATCTGTCATTGAAACAGAGAGTCCTTATATTTGACTAATATATAATTATATAATTGAAGCTTCATTATTTTTGCTAAACATTTTCATTTCACTAAAATTAACAAAGCCATTAATAACGATTGAAATAAATAGTTATAGCAACCAGAAACGAGTAGCTATATGTATATATGTGTTTCTTAGAAAAAGTTTGCAATTTATAGGGATAAAAATGAATTGGTTTATGTTAATTTGTAAGTTTAATTTGACTTGTTTGATTTCACCATCTGTTTCAAATACCCTCGCTATTAATTGAATTTATTTGTTACTAGAAACGTGTTGATTAATTAGCTGAAGATTTATTTACCTAGGTCTTTAAAGGAAAATTCACATGTAATTTAGTTTCTTTGCCGATTGTTATTATCAAAAAGAATTCGATGGAAAAATCTTTGTGGATAATTATTACTCGCAAACATAAAAATCCCTAAGTAACTTATTTGAAATACCTACGAATATTCTCACATGAAATACCAAAACAAAAATATCAAGAAATTTTTGTTAAAATTTGTGAAATATAGGAACTTCCTTGTGACATTTTCTGCAACTAATTCTGCAGGTAAATTTGAAGAAAAAAAATTGTTCACAACAATTTCTGAAATAAAAATATGAATTATTCTAATTTCTCCATATTTAATATAGTTTTTTTCTTGACTAGAATCTATATTTGTGCATATTATTGAAGATTCTTAATCCTTTTAATTTCACGTTGCAAAAAAGTTTCAAGTTATATATTCCTAACTAAGCCTGTTGTAGGGTGTGTACATGACCGGGCTAGTTTGGATTTTTCAAATATCAAATTAAATTATTTGAATCGGATTTTTGAGATTATAAACCAAATCAAACCAATAAAACTCGGATTCTTCAACTTCAGATTTTTTTGGGTTTTTCGAGTTTTTCGGATTTTCGAATTTTTTCTATAAAGTTTTCATACAAACATATAATTTACTCGTGCTTCAAATATTTCTTTAGCCCTATCAAAATGCAACAATCTAAGTTATTTATTTCTCAAGAAAATAACAAAAAAATATGATATGATTAATGACACTAAAATATCCAACAAAAAAATAATAATAAAAAATCGAGTAAAAAAGATATTGCAAATTAATAAGTCATAATGAAATTGATCATAATTTAAAGTACTACATCATGCTAAACTAAGTTTAGTAAATATTAGTTACATGCCTAAATATTAAAAAAAAGAAGTAAAATTAGATCATGTATTTTAATTGTCTAAATCTATGTAAAACTAAAAAAAATATTCAAAATTATTATATTCTTACTGTTGAATTGATTTTCCTTTTGCATTAGTATTAATTAATTTTTATTTAAATTTTATTATAATTACCAACATGTATGGACTATGATCTTTATTAGATCATTAAGAATTCTAACTTTCAAATATGTAATAAATATATTAAAGATAAAAATTATGAAAAAGTATAAGTGATGTTTAAAAATTATATTAAAATAAGTACTTTTACGTATAAAATAAAATTTTAAAATTATATATATAATATCGGGTTAATTTGGTCCCAATTTTTTTTTTATAGTTAAAATCAATCCAATCCAAATATAATCTGGTATATATGTTAATCGTCATGGAGCATCTCGTATAAGTATTATTTTATTTTCAATAATAAATGAATATTATGAGTCTTTATCTATTTTGTATTTTTAGAGTGCAAAGCAACTAAAGTGTGGTTGGCACCCAAGCACCACAAGCCCTCTAATAAAAGGCAAAAATGATCATAAATATTATGAAATGTTGTATTATAATTTTATCAACCGTTGATAATTGGATTGTCATTGTCATCATCATTAATCATTATTAATAAAGCAACTTAAATATACCATTATTTTCCAAATAAGCAAACTAACCATTAAAAAAATAATTTTGAATAATATAAAAACGACAACTTATTCAAACCGCGATCGTGACACTATAATAGTTGCATATAGAAAAGAAAAAAATACCAGTTTATATTGTTGATTCTTCAAAAGGATTTTTTTTTTAATAATTTGAGCTAAAGATATTGCGTATAAGTATTGAATATTCTTAGATCCAAACGAAAAAAAAATGCAATTACAAGATAGACTAATTTTAAAAATTTCAAAAAAAGTTTATACGTATAAAAATTTACAAAGTTCGCTCTTTTAAACTCAAGATTTCTGGTTACCAAATATTTTAACTCCATGACCACACAAAACTATCTTAATAATCATTTGTACAAAGAGCTGGAGGTAGGTGGTTGTTAGTATGGAAGGAAACAACGTCACTTATTTTTTCACTTTTATTAAAAAAAAAAATTCTTTATTTAAAATAATTTATTTTAAAAAAAATTTATCAACCAATTATGAATAGTAAGATTTTTCTTCCTACTGAACATACCGCTAATGTTTGATATTTTATGGCTAAAGATCGACAAGTCTATTCATTCAGGTCTCATTTGTTTGCACTTAATGGAGACATGAATCTTAATTATTAAGATTCAATTTATTAAATACATTTGATTTTTAGGTTTTAATTTGACCTATTCATATTCAACCTGTTAAATTTATTTGTTTCATTTTTTTTAAAAAAATTTCTTAATGTTTTTAAAGAGGTCTGAACAAATCAAGATCTGCATTTGACTCTCATCAACATTCAGACTCATTTAATAAGTTATCAAATAATAAATCACCGTTCTCTGCTTTGGGCGTGCCTTTTATCTCATAACTAAAAATATTTTTTCTATTTTTTTCTCAATTAAACACTATTTTCCTCTCTTGAATTAGCAAGTTTTCATAAATTCTTTCAAGTGTTTTTTATATATTAATAATTTTCTTGTATTGACGTATGTCTGGAACATTGGTTGCAATAATATTTTTGGTGTATTGTTGTTTATCAAGGTTTTTGAATGAAAAATATTACTCAATTTTTTTTGAACATTAATTATGCACATACAAATATTGAAAACAAACAACATTAATTATTTAGTGTGCAGATTTAGAGATCACATTTTAATATTCAGATGTGTATTCAGATTAAAACACCTAAAATCTTACTGCAAATCTTAATATTTAGATATGTATTAAGGCCTAATGAAATAAATAACTCGATAAACATAGCGTATAAAGTCGAAAAAGAGGCCTCGACTTAATTTTGATTAAAATAATAATTATTCTTGGAATTTTTCAAACTACTAACACAAAGAATCTTTCTCGTCTAAGAAAATTCACACAACAATACTGAGAATTTGTTTGGATGAAATGAATTTTTTTTAAAAGAAAAATCAAATGATTTGGGAGTAGTATTAAAGCAATTAAATTGAAAATTGACCAAGACTTGAATATATAGAGATTTTTTAAAGTACTATTCAATTTCGTAAGTCTTTCTATATGCCCACTCTTGTAGTGCAAGTCTTTGAATAGCCAATTAGGCAATTACAAATAATACATACTTTTATGTACCCTCAATTTCCTTCCACTTTCTCTTACCAAAAATCAATTTAACTACTTCTGCTTTTTTTCCTTTATAAATAATCCATTTCTTCCCAATAACAACAACAAAAAAACACAATCAATAAGGACAATTTTTCTTATAGATTCAATGGATACAAACTTGGGAGACAATAATTTTTCTATTGACCTTAACACAAACCTCTCTTTGCACAACACCAACACAAGTCCGGTAGGTAGATTTAAATATATATATTTTTTCATAATAATAAAATAATTTTTTTTAATTTTCATGATATGTTATTGTTATCACTTCTTTTCGTTGTTATTTTTCTAATAGTTATTATTACATGCTATAACAGTATAAAACTTCTTTACATCGATTTATTTTAACTTACTTGTTAATTTCTTTATGAATATATGTTGAACTTGTAAGTTAATTTTTATGCAGAGCGAGACGTTGGATGAAGAATTGATTAGGACTAGAGAGGAGAACAAGAAGTTAGTAACAATGCTCACAAATTTGTGTGAGAAGTACAATTCCTTGCAAACTCACCTAATTGAATTGCTGCAAAAATACTCTAGTAATAATGAAGAGGACAATTCCAATTTATTATTATCAAGGAAAAGAAAAGCTGAAGAAGAGTGTTGTGTTAATAATTTTGAAGAAGCATCACCAAAGAGGCCAAGAGAAATCACAACCAATGTTTCAACTGTTTGTATTAAAACTAATCGATCCGATCAAACTTCAGTAAGTTCAAAATATTTCTCTATTTTATTTAAACGTACAGTCAAACACCCTCACTATAACAATGAAAATAATTCAATCAGATAATATCATATGTTATATTGACTTTAAAAGAGATGGTCCCAAAAGTTATGGAACGCGTTATAATAAAAAATTATTACATAAAGAGACGATATATATAATTACACGAATAATTTTTTTTTTTGGTTTGGTTAATTTACAGGTGGTGAAGGATGGATATAACTGGAGAAAATATGGTCAAAAAGTTACAAGAGATAACCCTTATCCTAGAGCATATTATAAGTGTTCATTTGCACCAACATGCCCAGTCAAGAAGAAGGTTAGTACATGCAATCAAACCTTAATGATGATGGAGTAAAACAAGTATGAAGTTAAAAATAAGTATTTTAGAAGTTGAAGTTACGTTTGAACATGAATTTTATGTGAAAATAATTAAAGATTTAATTTTTATGAGGGAAAAGAATTATTATCGTATAAGTTTGTCAAATGGTATTATTTATGGTCAAATGATCACATGCACATAGTTACTGAGGTTTGAATATCGGAGGGAAGTAAATTCAACACGTCTTTTTACGTGCAATCAAACCTTGGTAAGCTTAATTAACCTCAATTAAAGTGTGTAAAAATTTGTAACAATTTCAACACGTTTCTTCATGTATGATCAAACTTCAGTAGATTCAATCTCAATCAAAGTGTATAATAGTTTTAACACGTCTCTTTACATGCGATCTAACCTCAGTAAATTCAACCTTAACCAAAGTATATAATTATTTCAATAGGCCTTTTCACATGAAATCTAATTCTTTTTCATAGTCCAAATGTGTAGGATATTATTTTTTTTTATAACAATTACAAATGAGACTTAAATTTAAAATCTTTAAATTCAAAATCTTTGTCTACTTTGATATCACATTACATTGAAATTTAAGACCATCACAGCTTATAAATGTTTATATTGTTAAAGAAAATTAGATTTCCATATTGATATTCAATAGAAGATTACGTTGATCTCTTTATATGAACCTGAATAATTCTCGACTTTTATATATAGGTACAAAGAAGCATTGAAGATCCATCAATTTTAGTAGGTGTATATGAAGGGGAACACAACCATCCTCATCCATCCCAAACTGAAATAACAGTACCATTAGTCAACCAAGATGTTTCAACATTTTCTAACAAATTCATGGAAGATATTGAAACAAATTCATTACAACAACATTTAGTTCAACAAATGGCTACTTCCTTAACCAGCAGCCCTACTTTCACAGCTGCAGTTGCTGCAGCCATCTCTGGAAAAATTTTCGAATATGATTTGCCTTTCAATTAAAGAAAAATTACATTTACTCAAATGGTTTATGTTTCTTTATTGAGATCGCAATGAGCTTGTTTGGACATGGATATTCGATTTCATCTCATGATTTCACATTTTTTCAAATGCAAAAAATTATATAATTTTTTGTAAGGATATTCGATGAATATTTATGGCCATATTCATATGATGATATATTTACTAATAATATTGAACAACAAACAACTCAAAGTGAAGAGTAAGACACTGCAACTCATGTTCAATTTTACCCTTTTACCAAGATAAAATTTGACCAATAAATATTGTTTTTTTAGAACAGTTTTTGTAACGATCCGTTTAGTCGTTTTGAGCAACGGACTTCAATTCTGGAAAAACTGGCAGAAGCGACGGACCCCACGACGGAACGTCATGGGCACGACGGACCGTCGATGGGGTCTCGTCCCAAAACACTTAGAAAATCTGAAATTAGGTACTGAAAATCAAC